AGTAGGGCAATTCCACGGTAACGGAAGGACACTCAGACAAGATTTTTGAACTTCAGGTTCATACTAAAAGAAATGTTTTATTAGTATGTATTAAACTAGGGGAACAAAATGTGTTTCAGTCAAGTGGAAAGCTTCATCAACTTCACAAAGTTTGGATAAACACTAATTAACTGGAAAAACCATGTCCATTTTTATGTCCTTCCGTTACCGAGATAATTAATATGCACATTCTTAAACTACTTAACTATAATGACAATTTTTTGGGGGAGAATTAAAGGCACTTATATAGGTATTATATCTGTACTGTTTCACATCTTATACTAATAAAACAGTTCTTTTAGTATGAACCTGAAGTTCAAAAATCTTGTCTGAGTGTCCTTCCGTTACCGTGGAATTGCCCAGTAGTAGTAGTAGTAGTAGTAGTAGTAGTTGTAGTAGTAGTAGTAGTAGTAGTAGTAGTAGTAGTAGTATTAGTTACTGTAGTAGTAGTAGTAGTAGTAGTTACTGTAGTAGTAGTAGTAGTAGTAGTAGTAGTAGTAGTAGTAGTAGTAGTAGTAGTAGTAGTAGAAGTAGAAGTAGTACTTGTAACTTTGTAAGGTGATAATACTACTATTGTTGTTTTCATACTTATCTCTCTTCTCCATACACTATCTTTCCTATTTTCACTTTCTCTCTAATTATATCTCTCTATCTCTTCCCCTCTGTCTTCCTCTGCCCCCTCGGACCTAAAATAACACTTAACCCACATTGTGAGTCGTCATTCATTTCTCAACACTCACCTGTCTGTAATAATACCCAATAGTGCATTCCAATTTCCTACAGCCCTATAAAAACCCTCATCCATTATCCTAGAAATTCCCATGCTATTTCTCCATATCTCCCCCATCTTTTTTCTCTCTCTCCTCTCTCTCTCTCTCTCTCTCTCTCTCTCTCTCTCTCTCTCTCTCTCTCTTTCTCGCTCTCTCTTTCGGCACCTCTACTTTTAGTCATCTCTCTTGCCTCTGTCTCAAGGTCATTGTGTCGTGTCATCTTGTCATCTTAAATGTGATACATTGGCTTGCTCCGCTATCAATTATATAATTACATGTACATGAAGAAGATGGATTGCAAATAGTATGTAATCTTTCACTGAGAGACCTTTTCTTATTTTCATACATCTTTTTATTCATCAATTCTGTTGCCATCTTCTAAAAAGACAATTAGTTTGAAAATGAGTTATATGCCATACATGTATATCTTTTTCTGACAATTAAGAAATATATGAGCAAGTGCATTTCATTAATGAGTCGACATCTACTTTAGATTTTCAACAACATACTTGTGTCTTTACTCCAATATTTGCCCTTCCACCTGTACTGTGTACAATTTTTGTTGTACCTTTTAATTGACACCCCAACATGCACTACCTTCCCTTAACATGCACAAGCACCACCACTAGCACCAGCACCAGCTAAAACCGCCCATTCTGCCAAACTTTCTTTTCCAACATCTAAGATTGACCACTGTTAGCATTACACCAGACGTGCCCTTACATGATACTACATTTAAACACAGACACCATCTTAGACTGTCTTGTGCTACCATTACACCGTACACTACAGGCTTTGTAAGACCAAATGCTAGCACCATTTAATATCACCACTTGTGTTATGATTACATTACATTCTACAAGGCTTTATCAACCTTACCCTAACACCCAAGTGTTAGATCTACCCTCTCCCTAATTCAAGATTGCCTAGTATCAAGGCAACACCATGCACTGCCCCCCTCTCCTAAAGCACTCTAACGACCTGCAGGTGCTAGTGGATGTTTTTGATTTCCTCCTTGATATGATACTGTCCTTCGGGGGCCTGCAGATTTCCTCCTCCGGTCCCAACCGTGCCGGAAAGCTGCTCAGGACGCAAATTGATGACTTTGAATGAGTGGGACTCTAGCTGACATCCCCATTCAGGGAGAGGAAGGACGATGACAGCTTTCTGTTGGGCATTCCTCCGTTTTGCCTCTGTTTTCACCGAAAAACCCTCAGGATCGCTGCTCCTGTCGATGGACATCTTCTGTACAGAGATGATTTGTCATGATAGATTGAATTGTCGAGGTGTCTTCTGTCGTTCCCCCTGTACTTTTCTATGACTTAATGTTTCCTCTTAGGATCATAGGATTACTGATCAAGGTATTTCTCCTCCATGCATGGATTCCATGAAATTCTTAGAACAGAGATTTGCACAAGATTTCCGTTGGTACTTGTAGGTGCAAAGATGATCAAAATATTGCTCTGTGATGCTTGTATGCTTTAGAATTTTTGAAAACAAGATTCACACAAGTTTATTTTCAGTATAAACTCGGAAAGATATTTGTACGCATTTTACAATGGGTAATCCTTGAAAAATCTTTAAAAGACCTTCATTTCATATGATGAAGCCTTTAAAAAAGAAACATTTGTGTTCGAGCAGTGTTTACTTGATTAATAGTAGTAAAAATGATGGAGATGATGATATTGATGATAATGATAGTAGTCGGATTTAAATATAACATTTCTATAGGAAGTGCCGTTATATTAAAGGGCAACAGTGCTGTGATGTTTAAAGGACAATGCTTTGCAGTACTAACAAATATAGGTTGATCATTCTGAAGCTGTCACAGAAAAGACAAGGGTAGCCATCTATGACAATCTTGAGATTTTACAGTTCTGTTTTAGATTAAGCAAATTATTCTGAGGCTCCAAATTTCACACATTCTCATGAAGAAGAAAGAGAAGAAAAAAATAGTTGACATCATCCAGAATGACATGTATTACCCCAGTCAGACTGAAGTCTCCTATAAATAGCTTCATTCTGCAACAATTCTCCTGCAAATTACTGGAGCTTAGTCACAACAAAACTTGGCACAATTAAGCAAAGACCTCCTTTTAGTTTTCTTCGTATCTTCTGACCGTGTTTTTATTAACGGGAGAGCGACGAGGAGTTGCCAATGCCCGGTGGCAGAGAGCTAATTCAAACTTCCGATAAGAAAACACAGCTTTTCCTTCCCATGTTTTCCCGCGTGGCGAAACGGCCGGCCAGTAGGGGGGAGCGGAAGCAGCCTTTAGGGGGCATCATTGGCCAAAAATCACATACATGTGGTTATGGCAACATGAGAAGCAAGTTTGGAAGCCAATTTGTAGTTCATGGATGTGAAAAATGACCAGAATTTTGCACTGCTAGTGTACGTGTACGTAAACACTCTGATTGGATCATCAACAAACAATCACATCATACCTATTCAGTGCCAGAAAGAGTTAATGCCCTTCTTGCACCAAATAGACAATACAATATATGGTTTGCACTGCTATTGTACGTAAACACTCAGATTGGATCATCAACAAACAATTACATCACACCTATTCAGTGGCAAACAAGTGTAAACTCTTTGTTAAAGTATATGAGCTATGCCCTTCTTGCACCAAATAGACAATACACATGGTTTAATATTGAGAAAAAATATGAAAAGTGATTTTAGTTAGTAAATGTTTACAATACCCCATGCAGTTCGCTGTGCAAGTGAACAGGCATCTCTTATGGTACCATGTCTACTTGTTTATCAACCAAAACAGCAGCAGTTTGATAATTATATTTATGTCTTATTTTCTTTGCCTAGAGTTTCAGTAGTTACATAGATGTGTAGAAAAAGTACATGCTCATGTTTTCAATAAGTAAAGCTGTGAGCACAATATATCGACAAGGGATGCTAAATCAGATCAAAAGAAAAACCACAGCTCCCAGACGAAAATAGATGGAAGCATTTGTTGTTGTTGGTTAGATTAAACACTCTGGAGGCGGAACCTCATTTTGTAATGCGTTTGGATCTTCAACCACACACAGTGAGAATATGCTGGCTTCAGTGAATACTAAACAGTAAACACATCTCTCCAAATCAGCTCAAAGTTATGGTTGAATTCATATGTACCTGCGGATAAGAAAGAGATTCCCCCTCATCAAATACACACATCATTTCATCAAACCCTTATCAAATTTTCTTGCAAGTGTGTCAGCAGTGGTTTAAGGATGCCTCAAATTTACATATCATCTGCTTTGAGACAGAAAGGCATTTATTCATATACTGGGATACAGAAATAACCGTCTTCTCGCTCTGAAAAGACAGCATCGCCACGTACCATTATGTGATAAAATTATCTGTATCTCGTTCCGACTGCTAATATGCCTTTGACTGGCCCCCAAAGTTTCTTGCTTGATTGACTTCAGGTTTAGCTCTGAGGAAGGGTGGAATTTATAATAAATTGATGGAGCTGCGTCTTTTGTTTCTATTTGACCAAAGAACATGATTGAAATGTTAATTCATTCCTTAGTCTATGTAGCTTGTTTTCTTTCTGTTGTTTTGTTCTTATAATCTCTCTCTCTCTCTCTCTCTCTCTCTCTCTCTTTCTCTTTCTCTTTTCTCTCTCTCTCTCTCTCTCTCAATTTTTGTTCTTCTCTGTCTTCCCTCTTTCAGTTATGCCCGCTCCTTTTTCCTCTCTATCAAGTCTCTTGTAACTGTTCATGTCTTCCTTTCCTTATCCTTTCTATGTCTATTTTTCTCAATCTGTCTTACCCTCTGACTTCTCTTCCTCCCCTCCCTTGGTCTCTTAATACCTTTCCACTATTCTCTCATGTATTTTGCCTTTCTATTTTGTTTGCCTTGCTCTCTCTAGCCAAGTAGCCATATTCCAACAATTGATTGGTGCATTAATACATTTGAAATTTCACTCATGAAATAAGTATTTAACCCAAACTTATTAACACGTTTCTCTCTGTCTGTCTCTGACTATCTCTTATATGACCTTTGAACTTTGACCTCTCCTTATGTTGTTTGTCTCCCTCTACCCATTTCTGCCCATTTTGTTGATGCATGGTGTAAATATTGTCAAATTTCATTCATGGAAAAGAGAAATTCCACTCAATTGATAACCATTTCTCTCTTCTCTCTCTCTCTCTCTCTCTGTTTCTCTTATGACCTTTGACCTGTAGGAGTTCACCTTCAACGTGACCCGTGTAGACGTGCTGGAGATTGAAGTCAAGGACAAGTTCAACCGGAGCCATCCGGTCATCAGCCGGTTCCTGGGCAAGCTTTCCATCCCGGTTCAACGACTCATCGAAAAGGTGGCGCTAGGGTAGGTAGACCTTCAGGAAGGATTCAAACTTACCCAAGTCTAGTACCACATCTGCAAAGGACAATCTCAAGATCAAGATAAATTTCCATCCCTATTCAATGACTTGTTGAAATCGTAGTGCTTCGGTAAAAAGACCTTCAGAAATAATTCAATGTCACGCAAGTCATTATAACCATGTATTGAAAGAAATTTTTCGAAGAAATCTTTGTCTTATTAAGAGCACTTTTTGATCTGCAGAGAGCCATGAAGGCATAATTGATTCATATCATACATGTAACACAGAGTTAGTGCCCTTTTGGTGCTCAACAGACCATTTTGATGTTCTGAACAGTGCAACGACCTATACTTACATGTATATATGTTTCTGATGAATGCAATGCGTAATGACATAATTATAACTGATGTGCATCTGTACTTCATCGGTGCACTTCATCACAGAGGCAGGAAGGAAAGATCTATCAAGCAGTACAATGCATTCAAATATTTTTTTCCAGGAAACCGGCTTAGGCTGAATTGCTCATGATGACAATAGAGGGGGGTTGATGGGATAGGAAAGGTTTGGAAAGATTATGTTCAAGGTTGCTTTAGCTAGAAAATAAGCAGGTCGAGTTCATCTAATGTCTCTTGATTGAAGCCTTACCCTCACCCCATACTAGTCATACCCCATTCTATATCTCTCACCTTTTTCTCTCTTTCTCTCTCTCTCTTTTCTCTCTCTCTCTCTCTCTTCTCTCTCTCTCTCTCTCTCTCTCTCTCTTTCTCACCCTTCTCTCTCTCTCTCTCTCTCACCCTTCTCTCTCTCTTTCTCCCTCTCTCACTGTCGCTCACTGTCTATCTCTCCGTCTTTCTCTCCCTCTCTCACACATACCTATATGGCTCTTGTTGCCCTCACCACGCTTCTCCATCTCTAAACATGCCTTTTATATCTCTATACATGTCTTTATCTCCCTCTATCCCCCTCCCCTTCCTTCTCCCTCCTTCTCCCTCCTTCTCCCTCCTTCTCCCTTCTTCTCCCTTCTTCTCCCTTCTTCTCCCTTCTTCTCCCTCCTTCTCCCTCCATCCTCTACCTACCCCTCCAATTCTTGACTATCACAAATCGTTGATCACTGCTAGAAAGATCGCATGATCTGCAAGACAGCACATGCTGACTAATTCATTGTCTGGCAAGATCATGTAATCATTCCTCGTAGAGATTAAAGGTAGATCTTTATGTGTAGATCTGTGGGTAATATGACCACCTGGGAGGCATTTCACAAAACTTGTCATCAGTGAAAAATGAGAGTTGTTGTTATAAGCTACTGAAATCCTTGCTTCTGATTGGTTATCAACAGATTTGTTACTGATTTTTGTCACTTGTCACTGAAAAAAAGGCTTTGTGAAACGGGTCCCTGGTCTCAGTCCAGTGGCACATTAGACATATTACAGGTGTTGCAGTTGTTGAGTCGTTTGACATGACTGGAGATGCAGAGGTCATAGATTAGATCCTTGGCACGGCACTTATAGCCCTCTGCAAGGCATTGTATCTCCCATGTTTCTCTCTACCCAGGTGTATAATTGGGTGCCTGGGAGGGGTGCAAATATTGGTGAAAGGTACCATTATAGAAAGGCTGCCAATGTTTACAGTAGTGCAGGTGTTTGAAATGTAGCACCCGGTAATGTTTAACCAGGTACAGTTTCATGCAGCTTAAAAATCCTGCCTTTGTGGCAACTGACAAATACATTCTAAAGAAAAGTATTGATATATCTTGTGACTTTGGGACTTTTATACATCATCTTGAACAGTTGCCTTTGAAAACTTAAACAAGTGTGTAGGTTGCTAGGCTAGCAACCCTGTAGAGGTTTTGTGGTTTAGTGGATAAGGCGTTGGACTGTGGATCACAGGGTTCGTGGTTCGAGTCCCGCAACGTCATTAATGTCCTTTGGCAAGATATTAATCAACATTTTCCACTCTCCTCCTAGGTGTTAAATGGGGTACCGATAGGAAGGAGTTTCTTGAATACTGTGAGCACCTTCAGCTGCCTTAGAAGAGCCGGGGTAATAGTTGGAGCGCATTGAGCACCATGCATGGTGGACATGTGCGCTATATAAATATCCAATATTATTATTATTATTATTAATAGGAAGTGAAATGATAGCCATGTTTTCTGTTTTGTCTCCTCCTACAGGGAGCATACCGTGACGTACAGCCTGAACAAGAGGCACCCATCAGACCACGTCAGTGGCTACCTGACCTTCACTGTCAATATGGAGGAGGTCCCAGGTAAGACATCCATTCTTTTTGAAGGACTTGGTTTTTCCTGCTCCTCCTGGGAGGGGGGGGGGGGGGGGGGCGTGTTTCACAAAGACTAAGATCAACTTTAAGTTGGACTTAACTATGGCAGGCCGTTCATGCCACTGTTTGCTCTCACCATTTATACTGGCATTGGTCTCTCAAGGGACATACAAATCATGGTCTCAAATCTACAGAATTTACCTTTTTTGATAATTCTGATTGAATAATAATATTATTTAAAGACCATAATGGTGAGAGCAACCAGTGGCATGAACGGCCTGCCATAGTTAGTCCAACTTAGAGTTCGATCTTAGTCTTTGTGGAACAGTCCTCCAGGGATTCCATTTTTCAAGCTTGTGCCCAAAGCCTGGACCTGCCGTATCTCTATTGCAGGTTTTCAGGGGCTTCGGTTTGCACAGGGTTTGATTTGATTTAATCTTTTATCATTTAAAGAATTCTATGTTTTATCATTATGTAAAAGACAATGAAGCTTAACATCTTTATTGAATCCAATAAGTCTATGGACTAGTGCTCCAGACCATGAGCCCTCCCCCCCCCCCAAGTTCAGTATCCTCGTGCTTTAAAGCCAGTACATTGTTTATGGGTTGCCATAATGTGACAGAAGTGGATAGATCACACCTGTCCGATCCTTAGACGTTAATGTATAATTATTTGTCCCACCCTGATGATTGTTTCCATGTTTTTGTCCACTAGATGACCCCATCCCCAATGGCGACATGGGAGGTCCCCCAGAGTTCATCGACATGACCCGGTCAGCGTCCTTTCCAGTATCCCTCAGAGTATCGGGCGACGCCTCTGTTGAATCGTCGCCACGACACTCCATCATTTCAGAGGAGTTGGAGAATGCACACAACTCGGTGGCAAGGTCATCGTCGGCACCGTCACACGCCGTGAACCACCAGAGGGAACCTAAAGCCATACATATACCACCCATTGAACCGCCGACACCGACAGACACCAGCGTTGCTGCACCGATATCAAATGAGCAGTGGTCGCAAGCCACACAAGACATGTCAGAACGGTCACTGGCTCAAGTTGAGAGTATCGCCTGTATGTACTCGCTTCATGGTGCCGGGGATAGCCCTGCAAGGGAACCATCAACAACAGTTACCACAAGTGGCACCAACGGTGAGAGTATACATCGGCCATTGACGATTAATATACCCGGTGTGCAGAATGCATCGGCTTTAGTTTCTAGTATCGGTACACAAGTGACTCCTTCACCTACATCAAGACCACCAGTAAGTCTGGCTAGTCCAGAATCAGACGAAAGAACTTCAGGTGAAAGAAACCAGGAAGAGAATAGAGGTAGGGTAGATATCAATATTACTCCTCCTGAGGAGAGTGCGATTGCTCCGCCAAGTCCGTTAGAGGCACCTTCTAGTCACTCGATCAGTGCACCTATTGCAGTCTCGCGCAGGAGATCAACAGATGATAGTGAATCAGGCAGATCTCATCCATCTCTCAGTCCACGTTCCTCCTTACCGGACAGTCTCTCCCGTTCATCTGAAGGCAGTCAACGTTCCTTGAGCGATATCCTGCTGAAGCAACAGATCGACGAAGAGGTTCGGAGACTACGAAGCAGATCCTCTCTCTCAAATTCAGAATCTTCACCTCACCAAAGCGAACAAAACTCTGAATCAGGATCTTCACAAAGTAACATTGCCTCACCTAGTACGCCCTTCTCAAGTTCATCCATTAAAGCCAATGGCGCGACCGTTGAAAGGACTTCTGCAGACAGTGTGGCCTCAGAGCCTGTGGCAGGGTCAGGTAGTAGTAGTCCAAGTAGTGTGCCAAAAGAACAGAGCTCTGTAGAATCAACAGATGGTGCTGCAGTCTCGCATACTAGGAACAATAACAACAGTTTGTCACAGGGAGCCAGCGAGAACGCAGTTCCAGCCACCATAGCAGTTGGTGTAAACGGGGACGCTCCAAGAGAGGGTGTGCAAGCCATTAGTAATGGACCTGGTTCCACGGAAGAACAGACACCAAGTGTGAATGGAGAGGCTAACAAGAGCTCACCCAAGGTAGGTTCTTTCATCAATTCCATTCCACCCTCAAAATAATTCCAGTACCTAATCACCTTCAGGTACATACATTCATTATATTCTCTGCAGAGCCCAAAAGGTGTTTTCACTTTGCAAATGCAGACAACAGCCTACAAGACCCTTTAATTTGTTATTCAGAGAAACCTGGAGTTGTATACAACTATACATGTATATCAAGAGAGTGAGTGGTATGTCTTTCTTATGTTGATGGTTCAGAAAACTCTGACAAATATTAAAACTATCTTACCTCAAGAGGTATCTGGATTTCCTGAGGGCCATATTAGAATTCAAGGAGGTAAACGTAAAGAAAATATCTGGACTTCAGTAGTAGAAAGCCTCTCATTTTGAGGAGCACAGAAGAATATTACTCAATAGAACAATTTTGAAGAAATGTAAATGATGATCAAATTACAAGGTGACCTTTTAGAGGTAAAGAAGAAATATTTCACAGGCAATGGCCATGTGGTTATAAGATTGATCTTACGTGTAAATAGAAGCAAGCCAGGTTTGTTTGCTTTAATATTTCTACAGTATTAAAAGCCATATTCACAGATGCAAGTAGATTTGTTCTGTCAATTGAGTCGTAAAAATCAGCAAGGCATCTGAAAATTGCACTTAATTGGGATCATTGTTTGCCTAGGGCTTGAAGAGATATACACAGGTACTGCATAAACTATAAATAGGCAATGTTTATAGAACTCCCGGTCATTTTTTGCTGAAAAATCCATTCCACCCACATCCCACCTGTCTTGTCCGTCAGAGTAGTTTACATATGGCTAAACATTTGCCCAAAGTTTTTTTTTCTTCAGCATGTTACATTTGGTACTGCTTACCTGTTATGATTTATCGTTAAATTCAATAGTTGTATAAACTAAACAGGTTTATATTTCAAGTTTCAAGTTTTAAGTTTATTTATTTCACTTCATCAACAATAACATAATTGAACATATTGAACAATGGTAATTATTATAACTGTTTATAAAGACTTCTCTAGGGAGACAAGAAAAATGGTCTTTGTGGACAGGTGGTCGTAGTGTACAGGTTCCTTTAGTACATGTTTTAATGAGAAACTATTATCAAGTGAACCAAAAAAGTGGTCTTTCTATACAGGTGGTCGCTAAGAGCAGGTTTGACTGTCCATGTACTGTGCTGTACATGCCTTTATGGCATTGTATTAGTGCAGATCTGTCGTCAAGCAATCATTATCCAACCTGACGTCTCACTTTCAAACTTTCAAGATGTAGATTAAGTACCAATGTGAACACCCCTTTTCCCTTTTTATGGTCTTACTTGAAGATGAAAACAATGTGCTATTGAAAGTAATCGGATATTGCTCCCAGGACAGCGAAAGAATTATTTTTAGATTTGTCTTGAGATATTACCATGATGTTTGTCTTAAACAGGCCAGGAATATAGGCCCATTCACAATGCAAATTATCCGTGGATAATACTGGAGAAACCTGCAAATCACTGTCACTGTTTACTCATTGTGTGTTGTGCGCATGTGCAACTTTCCACTGCTCTGTCGCTTGTGATAGTGTCAAAGTGAGCAAAAAGCGTAATAATTTTCCTTCCTCGAGAGAAAGCATTAACACTGCAAAAACCAATGAAGTTTAGAAAAACCACACTCCAGAGGTGTTTTTTTTTCAGTGCAGGTTTTCAAATAGTTTATAGGCAGTTACCTAGTAAAGCCTCGGTCACAAGTGCCAATACGAACTGCTACAAAAGCCGTACAAACGATTTTCAGACAATGGAAATTCAGGAAGACAATGGAAAAACGGAGATTTGTACAAAATTATTGTTTGTACATGTACAAACCTTTGTGACCGTAGGATAAGTTCCAGCGAAACACCGGAATGTGAGTCAAAAATACGGTTTTTGCTTGCAGTGTGAAAGCTCCCATACACACAAGCCCTTTTGACCCAGTGATACTTGGCAATGTGGGCCAAGTCAATCCTAATGTAATTCATGGATCATATTTTGTAAACATGTTGATAGTAACGGCAGGAGTTTGATTTGATATTTCCAGCATTATGCCTGGTTACCTTCCTTATGTTTATCGTTGCTTGATTAGATTTAAATCTGTTCATCTTTTTTTCTTTCTTTTATTTTTTGAAATCGATACTGTATGGTTACACTGTGTCATACCAGTTTGAGCAGGTATTAGTGATACATTTTAAAGGTACTACAGGTGTATGTCCCTTTTGCAGCCAACCTCAAATGCTGTAGAACTTTGCAGGAATTATGAATATGTCATGTATGTCCTATCTGTGAAATTTAAACATTAGCAGTGTCCTCATATTCGATTTTATGCAAGGAAAACCATTTCTTGCTAGACTTCACTGTCAGACACTATTGAGTGACTGACTGGCTTTTTTCTTCTTTGGTAATAATATACATGAAAAGAGTTGTAGAGGGTACATGGGTATTTGTCTACATCAATAACCCACTTCTTATGATGGCCAAGATTAAACTGATTGAAACTTTGCGCAGCATAAAACGTATGACCATTCGGTACAATTGTCTGAAAATCAAGACTATTACTTTTGGGCTCTATAGCCCTTAAGTCGATTTGACAACTAATAGTCATTATTTCCCACTTGAAGACATTTTCAAGCCCCACCTTTTTTAGGGAAGTTCTAAATTAGTATTATCTTTCAAATGCAGTTGGAATTTAACTTTTTCATTTGTTTTGCCTGCAAATGGGACATAGTCCCTTTAAAAAGTGAGTTTTTGAGCTTGTGTTCTTTTTCAACATGACACATAATATAACTTCCCTTACCATCAACTTCACGATGTACATGTACATGTACATGTACACATGAATATTCAATGTGTGACCTGTTTGTATACTATACTACTAGTTGTAGTTCTGACTTTCAATGTACACCATTTCAATTTTCAAATAATTTGTCATATTATCGAAGCACCACTAGCACTGGTGAAGAGGCATTTATTTTATGACAGTTTTAAGGGCCACTTTTTTGTTAATATTTAAGTAAATATTTTTTAAACTATCAATTTTAGTCTCAATTCTCAAGTATCAGTTGCTAAGCCAAATAATAAACCTTATTTGAATATTATTTTTGATAGGCCTTCTTGAAACATAAGGGGGTAAACTGAAATCAGGAAGGAAAAAAAATCACTTCATATAGAGGAGATTGGATTGAGTTCCAAACTGGATCAGTTATTATCCTACGGCTGGTTTGTATAGATATAAGTACCTGGATATTGTTGTGACTTTATGGTTTGTATCGGCGGGAGCCCTGGTTAATATAATCATTGTTTTCACTCCGATCACTACCTATCTACATTATGTGCATGCATGAGGCTTTCCGCAAGACCAAGTCAATGATTTCAAAACCTGACAGAATACAAGTCCAACTTTATAGTTAAGTTTGACTTTGTGAAACACCCCCCAGTACTCAACTTTAATTTTGATGGACATATAATGCAATCATTGTTCTCCACTCTCTCACTACCTTCCTACCATTATTCCCAGGGTTCGGCTGATGCGACCCCTGCGGCTTCCACTAGCAGAGAAGACGTGGTACCCCCCATGGGCTCAGCTCCACCAGCTGGTACCAGGACAAGAAGGAGATCTAGCAGCCACAGGAACAGCGCCGTGTGGCAGAAGAGACAAGGACTAAGAGCTGCTGCAGCTGGCTTGCACGGTAAGTGGTAGATGTGGTGACTGCTGTTGCTGCTTTGTTGTTGTTGCTGTTGTGTTGTTGTAAGAAACATTTTAATAAAGTGATATGTAATTTGTAACTGTTTGGCAGGAGAGGCAGAGACCAAGAGCTGCTGAATGTGTTGTTAAATTAGTGGCCAGAAATTAATGTAATGGAACTTAAATTTGCGGTAGAAGGAGATCTTTGTAACAACTCCTTTTACATGTAGCAGGAAAGCACCAACTTTGAAGTTCTGCAGCTGGCTTGCATGGTAACTGGTTGATTTGGTGTGTGTTAATGTTGAGTTGTAGCAATGGGCATTGATAAGCAATGTTTTGAATTTATTTAATTGATATAAAATTTAAGCTACACTCTGTAGAATAAGAAGTCTGCTATCCCTGAAAAAAGAAGAAGTTGCATTTGACAGAAGAGAGAGTGCCTTGAAGGTGTTCTATGTTTCATCCCAACATTGCTGCACTGTACATTGTATTGTTTGTTTGGGACTTTATTTGAATTTAATCATCATAACCATATCCTTTTATGTACATGTACAATCTCTCAGTCAGGACCTTAAGCCTTTGGTCCTCTGGTTGCTTACTAACAAGCATTTATGCTTTCATAGCAGTCGGGTAAAATAATCACCACTTGGCCACCGAATATTGTTGATTTAAACCAATCCATATTCCATATCCTTATTTGTGAAGAACAGTTATTCCAAGTTCATCTTCCATTACTAACGATGATATCCAAGGCGTTCAATTAAGTAGGACGAGGATGAAGCAATCAATTGGAAATTAGAGAACATTCATAAATCAAGGCCCTTCTAATAAAAACGTGGAAAAATACAAATAAATTAATGTTTTGCTCCTCTCTGTCACATTTACGACAGTTCGATTCCCGACAGACTGCGATGGAATTACCTTCCAGGAATTTGATATTATGTTTGAGCAGGAGATAGTAGGCCTGTCCTCATCAGCCTGAGATTGCCAAATATCCCGCTATTTGAACTATCCTGATCGCAAATGATCCAGATAATTTGCGTCTTCATCAGTCCGAAGTTGCAGTTGGCAGGATATTTGGTTGAGATAATCATCCCAAGATATCTTGGGCTAGTTTGCAAAATATCCCGCTATTTGTCCTGTGCGTCTTCACCAGCCCGAAGACTCGCACTATGCGCGAACGCTGAACAAAATATCTTGAGCTAATTTCTCGAGCTGATGAAGACGCGATTTGTAACTTCGGGATTATTTCCCAAATCAGAAATAGCAGGCTATTTGGCAATCTAGAGCCGATGAAGACGTACCTTATGTGTGAGCAGGAGATAGTGAATTGGGACAAGGACCATGCAGAGTTTAGAAAAACATGAGAAATAGAAGACCTTGCTCATTTTCCCCCTTCTCTGGAAGTCAATGAGGATATCCTAATTATGGCGAGGGGGAAAATAACAAGAGAAAGATGTAACAAATTGTGTCTGATTTGGGATGGGAAGGATATTTCGGGTCCAATTAAGGCGTTTTAATTGAATTTTTGGCAGCGAGAGAGATTGATTTACAACCTTGGAGAGGCAAGCACATCATGGCCTGACATGAAATGACAGGCATTCCAAATTCAACACTTAAAGGGAAGGATTAGGCATGGCATTCAGGCACACTAATGGCAGGGTGTGATAGAAACAGACTTTAATGTGCAGATTTACAAAGAAGGTTGACATGTTTACCCGTGTATTGAACTTAGCGTAGAGGCCTCATACCCAGTTGGCGGGTGATAAGACACTTTACGCTTATAAATTACACTTTGTTATTCTTATTTAGTCTACTGTGGAGGTTTTCATTTGAACCATGGTTTATTTTCAGGGAAAAAAATACTTTAACAATTTTGGAGGCTACTTTTGAAGCTTGCTTGCATGAAAATAACACTCTTTAATTTGTTTTGCATTGAACTCTATGCAGTTTTTTGGGGCTCTTTTATGACTTTCGGGGGCTCTTTTGGGCATTTCGGGGGCTAATTCGCCCCAAGCCCCCGTGTATTTTTTTCACTGTTTATTTTGCATAATACACTGTATCTCTTTAAAGAATGTTCATCTTTTTATCATATCCTGTAAACGCTGTTATTTCCGCGTGATTCATTTTTCGCGCTGAGCGACCCCAAAACATATTCGCTGGTTCTTAAATTCGCATTGCACCAAATTCAGCCTGTTCAGAACATGCATAAGAAGTTATGTTTATATTTTTGCGGATTCTAAAATTCGCGGACACCGAAAATCCATAAAAATTAATGTACCGCGTTTACAGTATACTGAATCCTATTAAAAGTGTATACTGTGGAAACCTCTTGCAATGCTGTATACTGTACAATATGTAGGTGCCAGGCACTGTGTGAATTAGGGCATGTAAGCTATAAACCTGCATTGTCTCTTTAGCTGTGATCACCCATTGTTGTGCCCAAAACATCCGTAATGTCAATGGATAAGAGAGGGAAATTGACCTTTCAAAGGTCAAGCAAACGACACCTGGGAGTACCGGTAGTTAGATTTCTTTGGCCGGTGTTCATAGAAGCATTGATAGTTATAGTCCAAGTTTGAGTGGATACATTTAATCCACTGATTTATGGAGTGCCAAATGTGAACTGCCTTATCTTGTAAAACTTGCCATATTTCTGTAACTGCATGAAGAAAATCAAAATCTCTTTGAAATCAATTTCTTATTGTCATTTCCTTATGCTCATTTTTTTAAAGGTATAGACCAGTTTTGAAAACACCCTCCTCTCAAAAAATGAAATGGAAGCTCATATGAAAGAATATGTTTTGACTAATATGTGATGGTCAGCGCTCAAAATACACGGGGGCGGTGGGACGGGGGACGGGGTTAGGGGGTTTAACCCCCTCCTCCCACCCCCCCCCCCCCCCCCGGCCCCCTTGGGCTGTCAAGTGAAAATGTGATATTAAAGCGGGGGGAGGAGGATGCTGGAGAGGAGGACTACTAATCTATTTTATTTTTTTCTGGGGGCGGGGGGAAGTGAAGCGCCGTTTTAGCATGACTTTCTTTTTAACTCTTACTTTCACCCTTACGATAACCCTAAGTTTTTGGTTGCTGCTTTATATGTAGTTGATAATGCATGATTAAAATAAAGAAAGAGAGAGAGAACCACCATCATTTTGCAATGGTTCAGGGTTTGTGTAATGTACATTTGAAACCATTTCTTAGCGTCTCAACCCTAAAAGAATAGCAAAACTATTTTTGAGGAAAAGCATTATACTGAATTAAATAAAGAATAATAGCTTTATATTGGATCATACTAATACTGATACGGGCTAAAGACAATGTGGTATTTGTATAGAGGTATTCCAAAATGACATTCTGATAATCAACATTTGTTCTGGTATCATATACGCATAATACAACTGATCTTTATGATTTCTTAACTTGACATAGCTTCTTCTCCCCCTGCAAACAAAAAAGAAAACAAGGTTATTTAATAAAAGGATCATGCGACAAATAATCATTGTGATTCAAATTGATGCAAGGATTTTTTTAATAAGCTATGCTTTTCACCAGAATCTTCTTTGTAAAAAAGACTTTTACAAATCTCAGCCATGCAAATCTGCCACTGTGTTGTAAGATTAGGAGAAGTGTATTCTTTCATGAGTATTTTACATTGAATGGAACGTCTCAACTCAGTAAGCATGGCTAAGATTTGTAAAAGTTGTTTTTACAAAGAAGATTCTGGTGAATAGTAGTGCTTATTCAAACAAATATTTGCATCAATTTGAATCACAATGAATTATTTGTCGCTTAATCCCTTTTAATGACCTTGTTTTCTTTCTCGTTTGCAAGGGGAGAAGAAGATATGTCACGTTAAAGACATCATAAAGATCAGTGTTGTATGCGTATAACTATAAATTATATACACAGGCCAGTAACAGCTATGTAGCTTGTAAATTTGTAAGAGGGAAAATGCTGATTGAAATGATAATGATGAAATAGCAAATTATTGAGGAGTATCATAGGTACCAATTCAATGGATATTTGTATAAAAAAGAACCCCCGTCAGTACTAAAAGAGCCCCCGTGAGAAGGCTCACTGGGGCTCTTTTTTTGAGGGGGGGGGGGGAAGAGCCCCCGTGGACAAAAAATTAATTTGAGCCCTGGTGATGATACAAATTTTGCCGGGAAACCGCCTACTAATATTTGGTAAATTATCATATCGATCCGGCCTGGAGAGATATCGCGAATTCACTTCCAACATTGAACATTTGGGCATATATTTCTCCTTTTTTTTCCGCAAATTTAGGTTGAAGTATTTGCCATCTAAACCTCTGAAGGCGATATTTAAACAATATTGAATGGATATTTTGGACCCAAAACCCTTGAACTGCAATTTTACCACTTCCGGTCTATATCTTTAAAAAGAATAACATTCATTTACTAATGTAAACAGAAAAAAAGTTTATGACTTGAACATTCTTACCTTGTCTTTACAGTGACCATACCAGGTGCGACGTCTGAGAGTTCAAGCACCGATTCACCTACGACCCCCGTGTTGACCCCAGGTCATCGAAACACCTACCAAAAATACCTGCTTCCCGAAGAGGATGACCCACTGCCTGACAGTAAGTCACTGCCCACTTTTACCTCACTCACATAAATCTATTGAATTATAACAATCTATTGAATTATAACGGGCCTGATTGGCTTCAGATTATTATTTTTTCCAGATTTTTTTTCTACAAAAAAGGAAAACCCCTGAGATCGATGTAAATTTTGTTTAAAATCAGGTGGGTGAGGTGCCCTTTGTTCATGACTTGCTTGAACCCATTGCGCAAGCACTCTCGCTATCATCCCTGATATAACTATTATTTGTAAGAACAATTTTCAGCCAATCAGAAAAATTGATTTGAAAGTTCTCATAAATACATGTATCAGAAAGGAAAATTACCTGCAACAGTTTCTTTGTGTATCGGTAGATTATAAGAACATTCTAACCAGCATAACAGCCATCCTAATAAAACTTTTGTGTGATTGAACTCATTGTACCTAGGGGATGTTTCACAAAGATCCTAAGTTGGACTTAACAATTATGGAAATCCGTTAACATCAATAACAATACATTTATTTTATAAAATTTGTTTTAAAAGGCATAAAATGTTGATTCAAATCATTCATATTTTCTATTATCAAGGAGATTTCATGTTCCTGATATGGAATGTATGAAAAGTCTAAAATACTTCAATTTTTGCATTTTAAGGCTACAAATGGCTCACAATAATATTTCAGTCAAACTTAGAGTTAAGTTCTACTTGAGATCTTTGTGAAACACCTTCCAGGATGACCATACAATACATGTACATGTAAATTAATTTGCAGCTTGGGAAATGGGTAGGAGGGGCTCCGTCCTTGCAGACTGTATTGACATAATGACAAATCTGTCTTCTTTCAGACTGTTATCATTGTGAAATTTACTGCAAAGATTACAGTCCATTTTGTGAACTGTTAGTACTGTAGCCTTCCTAAGATGATGAAATGTTTTCTTTTATGGGACGAAACAGTGTACATGTATATTGCACTCATTCTGAAAAAATTCTTTGCTTGTCCTGCTAGCTCAAAATTTTCTTGTATCCCACTCAATGCCATTCAATAGTGTTTATCTGTCTGTTTCTAGTTTATGGCATTATCTATCATCAATATCCATCCTGTATTGAAGAAATATTTTAAATGTTGCAAAATCTATGAAAAAAAAATCCCTGTCCATGCTGACTCCTCATTCCTCCTTTTGTATATTAGATTGGGAAGCGAGAATAGACCAGTACGGCCGTGTGTTCTATATTGACCATCAAAGCAGGGCTACCACGTGGACCAAGCCTGGACGCAACCAGACCGGCAGACACGAACGGGACACCAGGGCCTCCGAACAAAGCAGGCAGCAGCTTGATAGAAGGTAAGGATACTATATTGGGATGGTTTTATACAGTGAAACCTGTCTATAAAGACCACCCAAGGGAGATAAGAAAATTGGCCTTTACAGGCAGGTGGTCTTTATGTACAGGTCCCTTCAGTACATGTTTCAATTAGGAACAATTTTCAAGGGAAATAAAAGATGTGGTCTTAGTAGACAGGTGGTCTTTCTATACAGGTGGTCACTATTAAAAGCAGGTTTGACTGTAGTATCAATATAGCATGACGTAGTATAGCACTCTTTCTTGTCTTTTACTCTTGTATAAATAATTGATTAAACCTATATATATATATGATATACAATAGGCTTGCGGGTGCACCATGTGTGAGAGAGGGCGGATTGAGGAGTCCTGAAAAGGTCTCTCAGTAATCTTTCTTGAGGGTTTTGTAGTCCTGAAAAGGTCCAGAGCCACTCCCGCAACTCATCCTCTCCAAGCGCTATAGTTCTCCTTAGAACTATAAGCTAAGAAAGATAACCAACAGTCTTTTTCAAGACTATACCAACAGTCCTTTTCAGGACTACAAAACCCTTAAGAAAGATTACCGAGAGACCTTTTCAGGACTCCTCAATCCTCCCTCTCTCTCACATGGTGCACACGCAAGCCTACTGTATATCTACATTACCATGCAAGCCGACACTTACAAGCAGTATATATATGTTATTATAATTATAGCTCATACAATACATCCTTGTATTCCCCTCAACGCCAGGAAATAGATGCAATGCATGCATTTGTTTACGTGTACACTTGCATGTAATTGCATACCCGTATTTATGAATATAATTGTGGTTTAGAGAATCGTCATGAGGAGGATTATCATGATGGTTTTAGAATTGCCCTTACAATGATTATAATATTTGAATGTGAGCAATTGAGTCAGTTGGGCATTTGTCGCTATAACCCGATTGCAACCCTAATCCTAACCTTACAAACTTACCATTGATGAAATAAATCCCAGATAAAATGATGCATGAGCCATCGTCAGATCACCCTGTTGCCAATTGGGTTGCTCCGACTAACATTAAGTTGGTAGTGATCAAGTGCTTCTTATTGCTTTATAACCTGTGCAGGTATCAGAGCATCAGGAGAACCCTCCAGAGTGATGACAACGGCAGCCGGAGAAACAGCTCTGAAGGCCCGTCAGCGTCCAGTAAGTTGACCCTTCCGCCTTTGACCACACCCATCGGCCATCCCATTCCATATCGCCAAATCAAATCAACTGTTTGGAGTCAGAAGGGCGTTAACTCATATACGCATTTACACAGATTTAAAATCTCTGCTGGCTTTAAACAGATAATATTCTTGACATTTCGCATCATCCAAATTTAGAGTAATTTATACCTTATTGTACAGGTGTATGTTAAGAGATAGAGGGAAATTTTATAGAGAGAGTTACAGTATAAGATGATGACGTGGATCCTAATGAAATGATTGGTTGAAAGCATACACGTGACCAGGCATTTATTTTGCCTAACACGTAATTTGGATAACAACCGGCCATTATCCAATTCTAATGACCGGTCATTATCAAAATCATGTTATAAAACATCATTTTATAAAACAAATAAAACATAATCTTATAAAACAAATAACACACATCATTTTGTTCGGGTATTAGTATAATTACCCACACTAGGTACCTTCAAAACAGTCCCAACACCCTCCGCTATCGCCTCGGGCGTGTTAGACTGTTCCAAAGGTACCTCGTGAGGGTAATTCTTACTATTGCCCTCACTGATGTGTATTATTTGTGTATTAATGCCCTTCAGCCTCTAAACAGACAATGTGGTAACCTGATCATAACCACTCATGTGTTATAGTATCTTGGTCCTTGACATTAACTGTTCCTTGGAAAAAGTGTGGTTTCATTTTCTCACTAGATAATTAATATAGCTCTGTTATGCTGTGATAAGCAATATCCAATAGAGAGTTAGAAGAGTATAATTATAAAGTGAGTAGACTTCATTTTTGTTTGTTTAATGAAAGACATACATGACAAACAGGATTGATCACAAAGACTTCAAAGAAATCGACCTTTGCGGCTTTTAATGGCCTCTCGCATTACAGGTACATGTTCAAACTACATGTACGCCAGATCATATCATCAGTCATAATCCAAACAAGAATTATTCCTGTAGGCATTACTCATGTATAACAGCAGGGTATCCATTGTGTCTATCATTTGGAATACCTTACAATGAGATTACATTTAAAGTGTGAACAGTTCATGTATGTATGCAGCATGTACAGGTGTACATAATTAAATCCAGTTTAATGTGCGAGTGTGAACAGGACATGCTATGTGTATTTGTAGCAGAACATAACGAGTGAATAGGTTGGGTCTGTACATGTACATGCATCAATCCTTGTGTTTGAGTGTGAACAGGGCATGTTATACAGTGTATGTATTTGTAGCAGAACATAACAAGTGAACAGGTTGGGTCTGTGCCTTGTTTTTGAGTGTGAACAAGGCATGTTATGTGCACTTGAACATATGGCTGTGTGGCATGCCAACATGGGTATTCATTACACTGATAAACAGCTATCAGCTGTCATTGTGCAACAGGGAAACATCGAGGTTGTGGTAAAGTGCACAAGTCAGTCCCATCCCCTAGATCTTACTTCATTAGTGCGTGCGTGTCTGGGGAACAGGAAACAGCTTAGCTAGTGCAGAGCTGAAGAAGAATGCCTGTTACACAATCGCTGCAGACAATGGGATTCTAGGGACGCAGAAAGTGTTTACTCGACTCTAGGGTTTGCGGCAGATCATGACATGATTATCGACACAATTAGTGACATGAGATTTGACATGAGAAGAATGGTGTCGTGCTTGTAGAAGAGGCTCAGAGCACATTGTGGATTTGCCCAGAATCAATGTTTCAGCACAGTTTCTGTGAAATCGGTGCGTTGCCCCACAGGCATGATGACTTGCCTTGCCATTGGGATCTATCGTAAGAATGTTCTCCTTTCTCAACCTCTAGGTTCTTCAGAGAGTATACCTCAAATACAGAACCCAAGGAACCAGCAGTCTCTCATGGAGTCACCGGCGGTGCTCTTCATCACCAGGCCAGACTTCTTCAACTTCTTGCATTCAAACATGGTGAGTAGTCAGTGGGTTAAGCTCCTGCCCCTCTCTCTCTATCTCTCTCTCTCTCTCTATCTCTGTCCACCTGTCTCTCTCTCTCCTCTCTCTCTCTCTCTCTCTCTCTCTCTCTCTCTCTTTCTCTATGTCTCTCCCTCTCTGTATGTCCCTCTCTCTGTATGTGTGTGTGTGTCTCTCTCTCTTTCTATTTCTGTCCACCTGTCTTGTCTCTCTCTCTCTCTCTCTCTGTCCCTCTTCTTTTTCCCCTCTCTCTCTCTCTTTCTCTCTCGTTCTCTCTCGTTCTCTCTCTTTCTCTCTTACTCTGTCTGTCTCTTTCTATTTAACTCTTTATCACACTCTCTTTCTCTCTCATTCTTTCTCACCCTCTCAGTCTGTCTCTGTCTCTCTTTCATTCTCTCTTTCTCTCTCACACTCTCTCTCTGTCTCTCTTTCTTGTCCCTCTCTCTCTCTCTTTCTTGTCCTTCTCTCTCTCTCTTTCTTGTCCTTCTCTGTCTCTCTTTCTCTCTCTCCTTTGTGTTCTTCATTTTCCTTTGTTTATTTGTTTTGTTTTCATCTTATTTTTCTTCTATGGAGGCTCAGCTACAGCTGGGGTAATTATGTGGTACTTTGTAATGAGCACAGTAGAGTCCATCGTACAATATAGCAACTGTGCTACATGAATGAACATATTATTATTACTCTCTCTCTCTCTCTTTCTTGTCCCTCTCTGTCTCTTTTTCTCTCTCATTCTATTCCCTCTTCATTTTCCTTTCTTCTTTGTTTCCATCTGTTTATTTTCTATGGAGGCTCAGCTACAGCTGGGGTAATAATGTGGTACTTTGTAATGAGCACAGTAGAGTCCATCGTACAATATAGCAACTGTGCTACATGAATGGACATATTATTATTACTCTCTCTCTCTCTTTCTTGTCCCTCTCTGTCTCTTTTTCTCTCTCATTCTATTCCCTCTTCATTTTCCTTTCTTCTTTGTTTCCATCTGTTTATTTTCTATGGAGGCTCAGCTACAGCTAAGGTAATAATGTGGTACTTTGTATTATACGCAGTAATGTAGTAGCTGTGCTATATGAATGGACATATTATTATTACTACCCTGTGTAATATTCTTTATTTGATTTTTCGTCTATCTCCTCTTTTGATAGGATGCTAAAAACACATTCCAGAAGAACTCGTCTGTGAAGCACATGGTGAATCGGATCAGGAGAGACCCAGGCAAGTTTGCCGACTACCAGCACAACCGAGACCTGGTGGCGCTGCTCAACTCCTTTGCAGATCCCCAGGGCGATCTTCCCAGAGGATGGGAAACCAAGAAGGACAAGTCGGGCAAGGTAAATAGGAATTCTGATCTCAATGAGTTAAGCCTCTTCTCTAATAAGTCAGCAGATACTTAAAGTGACTCGGTAACATTGCCTCAGATTCTGAACATTAATGACCTACATGTATTTATATTCATAATTTATCAATTTCATTGTACTCAATTTAATAATGTTCATAATCATGTTGAAAATGTATGTATTATCAATCCAACCCTTTGGTTGCTATGAATAAATAAACGAATATATAAATCAAAATTTTAAAAACCATTTTCCTAATGTTTTATATAGCACTGCAGTCTTTTTGGGAAGATGAGTATGGTAAAACCATATCGCTCAAAGATTTTTTTTTTTTTAGACACTTGGGGGGGGGGGGGGGTGGCGGGGGGGAGGCACAAGCTTGAATACAAATTTTGACATGCAAGAACAGAAAAGATTTGCTTATGTGGGGGGGGGGGGAAGCAAATTATAGGGGATGATCCCTCCATTCCCACCCCTGGTTTGAATTCCTTTTCATGAAAACTCTACACCTATTTTGTTGAACTTTTCAGATCATACAGCAAACTGCTTTTTTAACCATTTTCACACATGGAACAGTTTCTATTAAAAAAACTAAATAAAGTACCAGTCTAGGATTTTCACTACCAGGGCAAAAATGTCAAAAAGAGCCCCCGAAAGTCATGAAACAACACAAACAGATTTGCATAGATTTCAATTCAAAACTAATTAAAGAGTGTTATTGTCATGCAAGCAAGCTTGAAAGTAGCCCCCCCCCCCCCAAAAAAAAAAGACCAAAAAAAAATGTAAATATATTTTTCAAGGTCAATAGAGATTTTAATCTTCTGTTTAATTTGTTTAGGATTTCTTCATCGACCACAACAACCGAGCCACCAGCTTCATCGACCCTCGTCTTCCTCTCAACATCGTGGATACGTCAGGTGCCATGCTAGCGCCCCCTAGAGGCAGGATCAGGAGTCGGAGCGAAGGGGAAGATGAGCTGCAGAACAGTACCTATGCAATCGTGAGTCAGACTTCTTGAGAGATGTATCTTAAACCCTAGACTTCTGGATTGTCTAACTCCCATAGGCTTAAAACAGGGACCACCAGGTTCTAGTCTGCAATGGGTTAAAGCCCCACTGCACTACTTATAGCTACATGTACTTGTGCCCTCTATATAGCAAACAATGCCTAATCGGTGACCATTGGTCCCCCATGATTCCCTTTTTCTTATGTTTATTGAGAGTCGATTTGATGAGATAACCACCTGTCGGTGACCATGCAGGGAGGTCTAATCCCTCCTGGCCAAACTAGTGCAGAGGGGCTTTCAATGAAGTTGGATATCATCTGTTTGGAGGCAGAAGGGTGTTAACCCATGTACACTGTACTTTATCGAGGAGTTAATGCCCTTCTGGCTCCAAACAGATGAAACGTTGAGATAGGTTCGTGAGATTTCGTCTTATCTGTGTTCATCGTGGAATGTGTGACAGGAATTGAACCATGGCAAAAATTTACTCTTCACTACAGTCAAACCTGTCTTTAGCGACCGCCCATGGGAAACACAAAAAGTGGTCTTTGTAGACAGGAGGTCTTTGAAGACAGGTTCCTTTAGCACATGTTTCAATGAGAATCCATTTTCAAGGGTTTCAAAACACCTGGAACCCGTTTCACAAAGCCTTTTTTTCAATGACAAATGACAAAAATCAGTGACAAATCTACTGATGACCAATCAGAAGCAAGGATTTCAGTAGCTTATAACAAAAACAGTAATTTGTCACTGATGACAAGTTTTGTGTAACGCCCCCCAGATGGTTATTGTTCATCAACATATTATCCATACCTTCCATTGCAGCTCCAGCTCATTCATGTGTTGTAAAGAATTGCTTTTATGATATCAAGCATGTTCTATAATTGTTGCCATTGTATTACTTTTCTTACAGCAAGCAGCCCATAATTCCAGAGGTGGTCGGGGTTCAGGGCCCCCTCCCGTTGTCCCCAGACCGGTAGAGACCCTTCGAGGGGGATCGTCACGCTCGGAAGAAGTGCCCATGGGTAAGAACCTTCTCCTCACTCGCCTGCCCTGTATCGGTTGAGCATTAAATCTTAATCTTAACCCCTTTCATGCCACAAACATTTTACCAGCTCTCCTTCATAGTATTGATGATAATAATAATAGGCATTTATATAATGCCATCTATCTAGACAATTCTATTCTGAGGGGCACAAATCAGTTATTACCTTGGCTGTAGCCTAGCTGCCATTATGGCATTCTAGCATTTCAAGGATCAATTCCTGCCAGGTAACCATTTACCTCACTTGGGTCGAGTGCGGCAAATGTAGATTAATGCCTTGCCAAAGGACATTAATGCCATGCCAAGGATCGAACCACGACTTTCAAATTTCAAGTCAAGTGCTTAAACCACTAGACTACGACACTTCTATTGTGTGAACTTAGAGGTGATATTGTTTTGAGTTAGAGTGCTTTGTTTCATGGTAACATTGGGTATGAGATGTTTTCCAATATCTTCAGTGTGACGCTGAAATGGTAGAAATTCAGAATGATTTTTTTTTTCAAAGTGGAAACACAATGAGTCACATTCTCTTGATAATAGCATTCCTGATGTTGGTTGATATTTGAGCCTTCCATGCCCCTAGAATAGGATTTATCAAGATGGTCACATGACAGCAAATGTATCACCTGACCCTAGACTGATTAAATGGATCCATTGAATATTCACACTTATCCAGGCCAAGCCAAATAGTCATGAAATCCTGTAAATGCCTGTTAGATGGATTGGGTAACTTTGTCTCAGATTCTGAAACAAAATCCTGGATTTAACTAATGCTGCAATCAAAATTATAAACCTACAAGCCGATCGCCTGTTTGATTATCAAGATATTTATGATCGGAAATTGAAATTTCAAAAACTGTTTTCCCAACGGTTCTTATAACACTACAGTCTATTAGCGAGAATGAGTATTGTAAAACATGTCACTTAAAGACTTTTACTTTTTTGAGGCACTTGATGATCATTTGAAGCGCAAATTTTTTAGGGCTTTAATATTACACCATTTCACAGACACTGATAACACGCAGGGCCATGCATCTCAGATTTGTAAAACTGGACAGATTGTTAAACGATGTCCTTGAGAGCCAGATGGGGGTATTAACCCATGTACTTTTAAGTATAGTCAATGCCCTTCTGGCTCCGAACAGACACTATCAAATTCCCTTCAGCCAGTGCTCAGTCTTCTCGACTTTGATTTAATTCAATTCAATTCAAATCAAAATCATTTTATCCTTGAAAATCAAATAAACATAAGATTGTACATTGGTGAATAATTACATTTGAACAAGAAAAGGAGGACAACAAAAAGTATACACTTGAAAATCGGAAGCCTCCAGATTATTACATTGTGTGTACATGTCAGATGAAAACACATTGTATTAAAACAAATAAACTATATGTAATGTTGCACTTTCATTTTGAAAATGACATGCTGGCCTAATTCCAACCTTCCTGTTTTTCTTCCTTATCTTTGGCAGCATACAATGAGAAGGTGATAGCGTTTCTAAAGCAACCCAACATCATGGACATCTTGCTGGAGAGACAACCTGGGCTTGGTGCTAATCAGAAATTAAAGTAAGTCCCTTGGATAGGATGTTAAATGGATGTCCATGTGTAGGAGAAACGCCACCTATTCATATGGATAGCCAATTGCTCTATTCATATAAGAGTAGGGGGGAAATCCTGTTGGATAATACACTTATCAGTTCCTGTAGGAGAGATTCGAGGGTCACATTCTCTAAAATTCAAAATTAAAGTAAGTCACTTGGATAGGGTCTTAAATGGAATTCCATGTGTATGTGTAGGAGAGTCACCACCTATTCATATGGAAAACCAATTGCTCATGGTCCCCATGGAAGACCAGCGGTATCATATTGATACCGCTGAATATGGGCTATCCAGCCGTTTATTTTATCTTGTTATTCATTATTCTATTTGTTATTATTGTACTGAATGCATAATGTCTTTTATACGGAAATAAAACAAACAAACAAACAGTAGGGGGAAGTCCCTGTTGAAAAATATTACATCAATATGCTTGGTAGAAGTTCAAATGAAAATCTTTTCACACTCATGGTTAGTAACAAAGATTTTCTTGAATGATTCTACTTTCTCCGAGTCTCTGACTAAGAAAAGTAAAGCATAATATTATTAATTGTCTTTTCTTCTTTCATCTGTACCCCAGAGACAAGCTTGGACAAATAAGGAAAGATGGAATTGAAGCTCTAGAAAATCTCTCAAATGACATGGAATTAATTATGTTACTAAGGTAAGTCAGTAAGAGTCTTTGTCACTGGCAAAGTCTTTTGCCATTAATCAATCATAACTAGTCAGTATCAGTAAGTGTTGATTTAATCAGGGTTTGTGTTAATGTTGTGCAAAGGAAAAAGATACAGGAGATGGTATTAAGCCAGTTGAAGTTCATGGGTCACATTACACGTAAAGGCCTAGAGAATCTTGCTTTGACAGAGAAAATTGTGGAAAGGAGGAGTAGGAGAAGAAGAAGAATACTTTGGATGGACAGTCTGCAGAAATTTTTAGAATAGAGAGGAGAGAAAGAACTGGGAGTGGCGCTAATAGAGAAGGCTAGGAGCCGAGGGTTGTGGAACAGCATGATCGCCAACGTCAATCGATATGGCACTTAGAAAGAGAGAGTTATTGTTGTAGTTTCTAAAGAAAATCACTGTAACAAATTTATAAAGAGGCCTTATTTGGGGGATGAAACACCTCCCTTTCACCATTCATCTCTTCCTTTTTAACAAAAACTGCTCTTCATAATTTTAATTTCCCATTTAAAACATATTTGTAGATACATGTACAGCTGTAGATTCGATAAATCTTTTCAATATGTCAATATAAATATATATATATATATATATAAGCAAGTTTAGTGAAACTGCAATTTCTGACAGTGCTCAACTGTAGGAGCAAATGTAGATATAGGAGTTGGAAGGTTACACTTTATTGGTACGAGTTATACAGACTGTTTCGCCAGAAGGCTCATCAGTAACTAAATACATAATACAATCATGGCGAAGTTAAAAACACTCATGTGCAGTCAGGCAAGAATACAAAAGAGACACAAATAATACCCAAGTAAGGGCGAACGCAATAATACAATAGTGGAATTAAGGGGTTTAAGGGTAAGGGGAAAGGTCATGGTGGTACAGGGGGGGGGGGGAGGGGTTTAACCATATTCAGAGAGTAGAAACTTTCTCTTATGTTTACATGTGGAAATGAGTTCAGTTCTAGAGTTAAGGATGGTGGATTTCTCAGCAGTGATGATGTGGTACTTTTCCCATAGGCAGAGATTGCAGCGATTTGTTCTGGGTGAGTATGGTTGGGCGTGCCGGATGATTCTCCATGATATTGTGTAGGGTGTCCCATCGTCTTTCAGCGTCCAGGTGTGTTTACTTAGCTCGGTCTGGTATCTCTTTTCTTGGTGGGTGAAGCTTGCTTTATGAGTTGCATATCTGGCTTTGAAGGATGTGGATGTGAGTCCAATGTAGAGTTTCTCATCGTTGGGGGTCACAACCTTGGCTTCATAGACGATATTTTTGGTTGTGCATTTTCCTGGGAGGGGGCAGTCGTCTTTCTTTCTGCAGTTGCAGGTTTCTGGGTCTCGGTTGGGGTTGTGGTTGATGATTCTATTGTTGTGGGCCTTGGTTATGGTTGCTATGTTATCCATGCAGCTGTAGCTGATCTTCAGTGTGTTCCTATTGCAGATTTTGTGTAGTTGGTGTTCCTTTGGGAAGTGCTGGTCTACGAGAGCGAGGAACCTTCTGCCAATATTCGTCTTCGCGTGCTTGCTATATGGGGGGTTGAACCAGGTTATGTTGCGTTTTCGTTTGTGGTGCTCTTTGTTGTTGATGTCACTGGTCTTGGGTGTGTAGGTTAAGTTGGTGTTGTGGCCGGCATCACGGAGTGCTTTTTCATACTCCGGTTTCGCCTCGTTGAATACCTCTGCGCTGCTGGAGATCGTGGATAGGCGGGTTTGTATGGAGTGCGGAATCTTCTTGGTGACGGTTGGCGGGTGGTTGGATTCTACATGGACGTACAGCTGGGTATTGCCAGGCTTCGAAAATGGTTTGTGTTCTTTGCTATTGAGATCGAACGTGACATCTAGGAAGTCTACGACGGTAGAGTTAGCACTGGCTGTCACCTGGAGGCCTATCTTTCTGAATTTCTCACATAGCTTCTTTTTTATGGTCTCTGCTGCTCTTGCTGGCTTGTGGACGATCGCTAGGCCATCATCCCTGTAGAGCCCAATGTTTTCCTTGGGCACTATGCTTTTGATCTCATCCAAGATGAACGAGCCTACGAGCTCGCATGTTTCTGCGCCATCGTATGATCCCATTGTGACATCGAAAAGATCATCAGCTGTTGCCTTTTGCCAGGACATGTTACCATGGAAGAGGAGGGTGTTCTTGGCTTGGAAGATGATTTCTGCTTCGGATGTGGTTATGGTGGTGAACCTCTTGGCGAAATGGATGGCTTTTTGCAGGAGTTGTCGGTCGATGGAGGGGTAGAAGTTCACAATGTCGAAAGAGATGAACGTGGAGTTGGGTCTGGTTTCAATACCCTTGAACCAATCTATAACTGCGGTGGAATTTTTCCATTGGTTGACATTCGTAGCTGCTATCACCTCGGTGTTGATTCTTTCTAGTATTTTCTTAGAGATGATGCCGATTTCACTTTTACTTGGATTGATGAGTCTACATGTCGGGTGGCTTCGGAAGTTTTGCTTGTGGTCTTTTAACGTTACATATGCGGGCTTAGGAGCTAGTACTTGCATCCTATCTGAGAGATCAAGGTTGTCGGCGATCTTTCTTGCTTCTATGTTGGTGGTGTTTTCTGATCGCTGATCTGATCTCTTGTATGCAGCTGTGACGCTGTCTTTCATCAGCTTTTCATACTGCTGCGGGGTGACATTGTAGTAGTTACTCGTCTTGTCAGCTGGTACAAGGATGTTCTTTTCGTTTCGGATTCCCCTTACCCTTAAACCCCTTAATTCCACTATTGTATTATTGCGTTCGCCCTTACTTGGGTATTATTTGTGTCTCTTTTGTATTCTTGCCTGACTGCACATGAGTGTTTTTAACTTCGCCATGATTGTATTATGTATTTAGTTACTGATGAGCCTTCTGGCGAAACAGTCTGTATAACTCGTACCAATAAAGTGTAACCTTCCAACTCCTATATCTATATATATATATATATTTTTTTGAATAATGATGCATTTTCATTTTCCAATTTTATTTCCAGTTTATTTGAAGAGAGCATCATGAGCTATATGCCCACCCCTCAACAAGCAAATGCCTTGAGATCTACATTAGCACAAGCAATATCACCACAGAATTCACCTCAACACTCACCACATTCATCACCAGGTAAGATAACCCCTATGATGATGGGGGTGATGATAGGGATGATAATGCAAATGATGATGACGATGAAGAGGAGGAGGAGGAGGAGGATAATGATGATGATGGTATTGTCAGTGATTATGATGATGGTGGTGGTGAAGATGGGGATGATAATATAATGATGATGATAATGGGAATGAAATTGAAAACGATGGTGTGGAGGAGGAGGAGGATAATTGTGATGCTGGGGATGATGAAGATGATGGCTGTGGTGTTAATGATGGTGATGATGATGGGGATGATGATGATGATGTTGATGATGTTGTCAGTGATTATGATGATAATGATGGGAATGACAAGATGGTGGTGGTGATGATGATGATCAGATGATGATCATGGTGATGATGATGATGGCGGTAGCGATGATGGTAATGATAATAATAATCATATTCAAAATACATCAAATGTTTTCACTGAATAGCCATATATTATATGTACGAGATATCCTTTTTCAACTTTACTACCATATTTGTTATCTTTAACTTTATATATGTTCTTTCAAGTTGATGTGCAATTTAACATTGGGCGTGCATTCGCATACTTGAGTTTTACTTGTAACCATCCATCGTCTATCCAATCTTTTTTCAGTTGTTGGTCGTGCCAACGCCAGAGCACCGGCCCCATACAAGCGAGACTTTGATGCCAAGCTGAGGAACTTCTACCGAAAGCTGGAGGCTAAGGGCTTTGGCCAAGGTCCAACCAAATTAAAGTAAGTCCCATAACCATATTATTACGCCTTTGTCTTAACAGAATTTGTTTCAATGCCAGGTTTCAATTGTCTTAAATTGATCACACTCCAATGCACTGTTTTCATACTTCACATACCTGTTCCTTTTTCCAGAAGAAGAAAATCTTTAGTTTTAGTCCAAGGTCAAACATTACTTATTTGGATTCTTATCCACTAGAAAAAGAAAAGGGCCCTGTTTCATGCAACTTGTTATCAATAACAAATGCTAAATTTCTATGACAAATTTGCTCTCAGCCAATCAAATGCCACAATTTCAGTAGCTTATGACAGTTATTGTAACTTGTTATTGGTTAACAAGTTTTTAAGAAACAATACCTAGATTCTCCTCCAGGGGGGGTGTTTCACAAAGATCCTAAGTTGAACCTATCTCTAAGTTGGACTTAACAATTACGGAAAGCACCCTTGAAAATACTTTGTAAAAGTTATTTTAAATGGCATTAATGTCGATTCAAATCATTCATATTTTATATTATCGTGGGAGATTTCATGTTCTTGATGTGGAATTTATGAAAAGTCTAAAATACTTGAATTTTTGCTTTTAAATATATTTCATTATAAGGCTACAAATGGCTCTCCATAATATTTAAGTCCAACTTAAAGTTATGTTCGACTTAGAATCTTTGCGAAAGACTCCCCTGATGTTCCAGCACCTGTAACCTTATTCCTTGTATTATCTATTCTCTTCTGCAGACTGACTATCAGGAGAGATCATCTTCTTGAAGATGCCTTTGGTAAGATCATGGCTATCAACAAGAAGGACATTCAGAAGTGTAAGCTCTTCATCTGCTTCGCCGGTGAGGAAGGGTAAGTCACCATCTTCTTTTTGAAAAGTCACCAACCTAGGACACCCTCCTTCTCCCCCACCCCTCATCTCATTTGCTTTGTTGTGAGGAACGGTATTTACATAGTCATTATTGTTGTGGTGTTTTGTTTAAGTCATCAAGCTTGGACACTCTCCCTCCCCACCCCCAACCCCACCCCTAACCCTAGCTTTTTTAGCTTTTCAAATATCTTAATTAGGTGAAGCACCTCCACCCCCCCCCCCCCCACACACACAAACTATTCTGTTAATCCTTGTACAGCACAACGATTGTTCAGGTTATTAAATGTAGATATTTTGTTGAAACAATGAACAATTACGTATGATACCTATAACTAAATTTCAAATACTACATGTATATATCCTATCAGATAATGGTTTAGATTTAGCATTCATTGCCCATGAGCTAAAACATTGGTATTTGCTTCCTGGTAGATATTTCTCTCTTAGTGTGGCTAATGTTATTAACCCTCAAGAGGAAATAAATCATGTTTCAGAACCTTTCTGGAAAAAAGCCAACCGTCTACATTTTCATAAATGTTCTTATACTGTAATACTGTAATGGACACTTTCCTGTTCGTCTATTTTGGGGGTTTGATAGAGATTATTTATTTTTCTTCTCTCTGTACCTTAAAGTGACTCGGTAACATTGCCTCAGATTCTGAAACAAAATCCTGGATTTAGCTCATGCTACAATCATAATTATATACCTTTAGGTCAGTCAGGAATCCCATGACTTCTACAAGCCCATCGCCTGTCTGATTATCAAAATATTTATGATTGGAAATTTAATTTAATTTCTTGTTTTCCTAACAGTTTTTATAACACTACAGTCTATTGGGGGAAATGAGTTTGGTAAAACCGGTCACGCAAAGATTTTTTTTTGTTGAGGCACTTCTTGATCATTTTGAAGCGCAATTTTTTTAGGGCTTCAATATTATGCCATATCACAGACACTGATAACACGTAGGGCCATGCATCTCAGATCTAACATTGTTAAACGATGCCTTTAATCTAATAATAATCAAAAGCATCTTTGTTTTTATTCTTTTCTCCTCAGTTTGGACTATGGTGGCCCATCAAGAGAGTTCTTTTTCCTCCTATCAAGGGAGCTCTTCAACCCGTACTACGGTCTGTTTGAGTATTCAGCCATCGATACCTACACTGTTCAGATCAGTCCAATGTCGGCCTTTGTCGATAACTATCTAGAATGGTGAGAAATATTGATTTTATTTTTTTGTTTGGTTAGTCTGTGTTTGTTTTGCACTCTCTGAGTTCTTGCTGGAAATTTGAAAATCAGCCAGTCATATTTATGAAGATTATACCTTTGTCATGAGATGCTATACAAAGGAATTGAATGTACATATAACTTTGCTAGATGCAATAAAACAAGAAATAATTCATTCCGTCTACCGTTGTCATTACTTGTCAAGGATCATTTCTCTGCAATTAATAAACTATTTTGTTTCTGACTTGGGATATTGTGCAGCTTACTTTACTGATAAAAACTGATAAAAACGTTGTGCAGCTATTCAAACATTCAATATACCGGTAATAATTACTGATTAACAATATCTTTTTTTAATAATGCATGAAGCCAAGTTCTTCTTTTTAGTTGTTATTTAACTACTATATGTAAATGTACAATTTATTACCTTATTTCATGTTTCCTTGTATTTTACTGTAAATATGACAATATTAGTCTCCGGACTTTTGCCATGTTGTTTTTTTACAATAAAAACTGAAATTAAATTGGATCAAATTGAATTAACACATTTCATGACCTTTCTTTCCTGCAGGTTCCGATTCTGTGGTAGGGTCATCGGTTTGGCCATCATTCACCACTTTCTCCTGGATGCCTTCTTCACCCGGCCGTTCTACAAGGCCCTGCTGAGGCAGCTCTGTAACCTGACCGACCTGGAGTCCCTGGACGGCGAGTTCTATCGGAGTCTGCTCTGGGTCAAGGATAACGACATCACTGACCAGCTGGATCTGACCTTCACAGCGGACGAAGAGGTCTTTGGACAGGTGAGTGGTCACTCGATGGTCATCGTATGCTTCCGGAAACTTGATGTGGAATTGGGAGCCAAGCTCAGCAAGCACAATCAAAAAGATTTCCAAGAAATTGATTCAAGGGCAATTTCAATGCTGTATTTATTTATTGCTTTCAGAAATTATTATAATGGTCCTATATTACAATGGGTGATGGTTGAGGTTGTTGAAATTAACTTCAAGTTAATGTGTTGAAAGTCTTTGCAATTTGTGTTACTAGCCTCCAGACATTGTATCAGAAAAATAATATAATATTATGTTTTGACTTTGCCTTGGCCTAAAAGTTACTGTCAATATTAAAGAGTACAGGATTTCAATATTTTAATAATTTTAATTTTAATTTATACACATTAATTGATTTGGGTGTGTTTACTTTGGGAATTGCAATGTTTATTTTCCTCATTTAAGTGAAAGGCATATCATCATAAAGTTATTGACAATTTTTGACTGCCCACATACATACATGTACTGTCTAATGTGCTTCAGATTTGAAATGATTTGATTGACATTCTGTGTACCATTTTTGATACTGTCTTACAGCTGACAGAGAGGGAGCTAAAGCCGAACGGGAAGAACATAGCCGTGACGGAGAAGAACAAGAAGGAGTATATTGAGAAGATGGTGAGGTGGCGCATTGAGAGGGGTGTGGCCGAACAGACGGAGAGCCTTGTCAGAGGTTTCTATGAGGTTAGTCCATGATTTATTTATTTCATTTTTATTTCATTTCATTTTTATTTCATTTTATTTCCTGTAGCCTTAAAAGAAACTGATGGCTAGGACTACGTCCTAACATACGTTACATGTTAGCCTTGTCCAACAAAGTCATACTGAAAACTGAAAAGGAAAGTACATGTACATGTATTTCACAAAAAGAGAGCAAAATTCAGCAGAAAGATGACCTCATCTGGATAGTTTAATTTATTAAATATTACATACAGCATTTAAATAAGTCGTAGTTTAAATGTACATGTAATAGTCAACAGTTTAGTATTTCTTGTAGACTGCTGCTTCAACAATGAATTTTCAGAAAATTAGGATTTACTTTTCATGGAAGACTAACCATTAAGAGAATTATGATGATAATAATAGTGGGTTCTTGTATAGCACTCCTGTCTGTCAGACTTGACACTCCTGGTGTTCCGCAATTATTACCCCAGCTTTAGAATGGCTGCCATTATGGCGCTCTAGCCTTTCTAGGAATTAAATCCTACCAGGTGTCCATCAACCTCACCTGGGTTGAGTGTGTGCAAATGTAGTTTAATGTCCTGCCAGAGGACATTGGTGCCATGGTGAGACTCGAACCCCAAACAATATGACCCACTGTCCATTGACGCATCCACTAGACCACGACACCTCCCTAATATCGATCTGTTTTCCATTATTCCTTGTAGGTGGTTGATTCCAGACTGGTGTCCGTGTTTGACGCGAGGGAATTGGAGTTGGTGATCGCTGGTACGGCTGAAATCGATGTTGCTGATTGGAGGAGGAATACAGAGTATAGAGGAGGTAAGCAGAAATGTTGTCATTAAGCGACACCCCACCCCTTCCCACCCCACCACACCCCATCCCACCCCACCTCATTTCCCCAGGCAGAATAGTAATTGGACACTTATGCTTTGTGGTTGGCCTACCGGTATATTGTTATAATCACATACAGAACTCAGAGAGGACCCCTATGAAAAATGACATTCATGCTGATCAGAGTGTCCCATCCTCACAACTTTAATTTTAAGATGTCAATGTATTTGTATATTTATCACTAATGTATTCCGATTATTACTGTTTTAGTTGTTCATATATGTATTTTTATTGCTTGTAAAAAATCCCATTTAACATTTACATTCATTTTAACTTGGACGAATACAGAATTGAATTTAATTATTAATAAAATTGTAATTTTAAAAGAGAGAACATTATAGAAATTACATTGTCATTGATGCAGCTTGGAATATTGTGGGACAGACTGCAGAGTGCAAGAAATGTATGGTCATGATATATTCCCCCCAGCAGTGATATGATACCGTAGTCTACCTAAAAATTACTTTGTTTGAAGGAGATGAAAGATTAAAAGTGTGGTCAAAATCCTTTTTCGCCAATTTTGTACAACTTTCTGTGATAAAGTCTGTTCAGAGCCTGCTGGGCATTATCTCACTATTCTAACACAGAGTTAACACTTTTGTGGCCCGCTCCAAACAGACGATATGCTCCTTTTACTTTCTTTTGCTTTAGAGACATGTATTTTCATTTTCCAAGTACAGCTATGATTTTTTTTTAATGCAATGCATTATTTTTTGCTGATGATTTATATTCTTTAATGTGTTAATGTCACTATGGTTTGTTGTCATTCTACTCGGTGATGCATGTGTATTTAATTCAATTAACTGAAAATATAATTACCGGTACTCAAATTTTTCTTTGCCAAGGTTTCCATGACAAGCATCACGTGATCAACTGGTTCTGGATGGCTGTGGAGAGATTCGATAATGAGAGGAGGCTTCGTCTGCTCCAGTTCGTCACAGGAACATCCAGCATTCCATACGAGGGATTCGCCGCTCTCAGGGGCAGCAACGGTCCAAGGAAGTTCTGCATTGAGAAGTGGGGAAAGAACTCATTTTTACCAAGGTGCGTGATTGCCAAAAGGACCTTCTCTTTTCCTTACAATAGTAGCCATGACAAAATAACGAGCGTGATATGACAAGTTTTAGAGAAATCTAAAAGTCTCTTCACAGATATTTCTATAGAGTTCTAATCTTCCGGTTGTCAATTTGCACAATACCTTGTGAATGTTATAGTTCATGTATAGGGTCTCGGGGTAGAGCAGTTCATATATTTTAAAGGAGATGGTAGTCACTTTCCATGTGCAGTATGTCATAATTTGCTGACACCAGACTTGGTGGAAATACCATTAATGGGCATACAAGTTACGCACACAGCAAACTCGGAGTCCCATCAAGAAATACCCCCTAGTCTCTAGGAGAGTCCTCAGGTGAGGGAAACCTAAGATAATGATGTTTCTATGTCGGATGATTGGTGTAGGATTATATTAGCTCCGTTGGGTTTTTTTATCCTGGTGATTGACAACACCTGTTTTTTAGGTTGAACACCCAAATGGTGTCAAATTCCCCATGTGAGCCAACTACACTGCATCTTTAGTACACTTGTGAAATGGTCTATGGTTGACAGCACTCCTAGATTATTACAATTAGAATTTAACGTTGAATCACACTTCTTGTAAACAGCACGCCCCATTAACTCAGTGTCCTAAACAGATTAAATTGACCCCTCAAGTGACCTTATTGTAAAGTATTGTAAACCCTTTGTATGGATCAAAAGTGCAACGTGAAAGGGAATGGGTACTAGGAGTGCCTCATCACAATGAAAAGCTGGATTAAGGCAGGGATTAGTTAGGAGATTAGGATTAAGGATTTAGACTGACTCACTAAGCATTGGCATTGTAAGCTCTGTGAGGTACAATCTAACTACTGTACTTATAAGTCAATCAAAGGTTCTGTGAAGATGAGAGAACAGAACTTAAAGTAAAAGAGAATTAAAGGGGATCTACTGCTTTGCAAACACACAGCTTATCAGTCATTGTATGGGGGACCATTAAAAAGCAATCCAATCCTTGTAATAAGTTCATTTGGATGAAAGCAGAAAAGTAAGATAAACAGAAGGTGAAATTTTGAAATAAATCTGAGAGATTATATGAGATGTATAAATGTTTGAAATATGAGATCACTATAAACTTAGTGTGAAGCTCAAATTGGCAACTTGGTCAGTGGATTGGCGTGTACGAAACAAAACCCTCACTTGTTCCTGTATATTATACTCTTTACTTCACTGTCTGCCATTGACTGCACTAGCACCCCATCCCAGTACGGTATAGTTTCTAGAATGAGCTGTGAAAGGGATTAATCATATGCTTCAAGGTTCAAGGAACCCCCCCCCCCCCCCCCCCCCTCCTCCTCCTTAATGATACCAGTGACCCCCCAAAGGCTGGACCCATGCTACGCTGGCTTAGCTACTGATCTTATGCCTGGAGTTTCATTATGATAATAATAGAGCTTTATGATAAGGAGTTGAATTCAATTCACTAATCATTAAACCTCTGATAATTGTACATTTTAGTTTACTATTTTAATTCCTTCTATGATGTGGATGGCAAAACTTGCCCAAGAATTTGAAAGTTAAACACACATTTTTGGAACAAGAACTGTTATGTCTGTCTTTGAGAAACAGAAGGAGGTACAAATGTAGCCTCTGTGTCAAGTTTATTCCTGTGGAATATATGTTATGCCCAATGTAACAATGAAACAAGATTTTTGTAATTCATAGTGACTCGTAAAAGTCATTTTATAACAACTGTTCAAAACTCTGTTGCGCTGGAATGGTTGATAACCCTCTTTCATTCATTTTTGTTGATTTCAGGGCTCACACCTGCTTCAACAGGCTGGACCTCCCTGCGTACACAACCTATGCCATGCTGATGGAGAAGCTGGTCATCGCCGTGGAGGAGACAAGCACGTTTGGAATCGACTGAGGGAGAGAGAGTGAGGAGGAGGACTTTCAAGACAAGTGTCGGATAGTATGGAAAGACCAAGTTTGCAGACAGATCAAGATCAAGATTGCGGGTCATTTTGAATTGACGGAACTAATGATTCTGCTTTTATATAGCGCCCAATACATCGATACAACAATGTGTCTACGGCTTTATAGATATATTATTACCCTGGTCATCTGATTCAGGCTTACCCGCACACAATGTATGCACATTTTCCACTCCTTGGGGAGCATTCCGGCATCAAGCTCATGGATAATATGGATAATATTAATGTGGATAGAGCATGTCTGCAAAGAGACGGAGAGGAAGATTGTTTGTCATTTGGAATCAAAGCGAGTGGAGAATATTTAACCCCCTGCATGTGAGATCCGGATAGTCCCTGTATTAAGCCTATGGGACTGAGAGAATTCAGGAGTCATCGGGTTAAAAGGTTTTTTGGATAGCATCGGTGTGGACAGGGCACGCGTGCAGGAGAATTATTATGTTATGTCAAGCCTGATGTCTTCGTCAGCGACTCGTTCTTTGTTTGACTATGACAGGGAAAGAGAGAGAGAGAGAGAGTATATCTCCTCAGTTACACTCTCTCTTTTGAAATCAATCTCTTCATCACATCTATCCTACTGTGTATGCTATGTTAGAGGATTGAAATGCTGTGCACTAGTGGATTCAGCCCAAGAGCACCCAATTCTGGAAGACTATATAATTCTTGAGCATTGAATGCACAATACAGCTATATTCTACAATGCGGTCCAGTGTCGAATATCAATTCTTTCTCTAGAGCCTCTATTCCATTCAAACTCATTACTACAAACTTGGAGTGATAGGGGAGCATCACATCAATTACATCAGGCATTCTTTGTAATACATCATCTCCCTTCCTGGAATCCCGTTGCAGAGAATTCTTGCCTGGAAGTTTTTTTGAAAGACCAAATTAAAAGTACAGGTCATCAAGTCCTAATGACCTATACTCTTTCAGCGATGACTTCACAATACGGCTCTCCCCTACGATGAAATCTGCTCTGCAACATCTCTCTGAGCAACTGTATGTCTGGAAGGTTTCTCAAATCTAACTTGGTAACATTGTCTGGAAACATCGTCTTTCATCGACCATAGGCTATATCATCGCAAAGCATGCGTCACTCAAAATTGAACCAGTTCTTTCTATACCATGCGATATCATACTCCAAGCAACCAATGTATTGGGACTGAGTAAACTAATATCTTGCGAAATGGTGTTTTCCATCATCATTGCCCTTGTTTTTGATGAAAGTAATATACATATCGATGGATGCGTTCACCCAAATTCTTTGCATTCTCTCACTCAGAGATTGATTGAATGTATATTGCATAGCTGTAACCAGATCAAGTATTTGTTCATGTCCACACTAGAATTGTCTTCAGTCATTGGGTATTAATATCAGTGTCCATGCTAGGGAAGATGGTAAGACTGCAATGAGTAATAGATATATGATTCCTAAGATTTATTAAAACAAAAAAAATATATTACCGTTACACATCTGTCTCGCATGGCCCTTTGAATGCATGTTACACGTCTCTGTTATTTGTTAAGGCCATGGCTGCTTCCATTTATGGAAATACTGAACGTTGATTCTGGGAATCAGTTATCAAACAGTATTAAACAATTTTTGATTTCAGTGTGATGTAAGGCTAGCATTTTCATGTTGGTTCCTCTGTTTGAAAATGGAAGTTGTGTCCATATGGTGAGAAACTTTTGTCTTTCACCAGAGTAAATTATGTTTTATATTATTTTTGAAACTTATTGTATGAATTTTTGCTTTGCATATCCCACCAATTATGTCTTGTGTTTTCTTAAAATATTTGTCCTGTTTCTGTGCTCAGTTTTATCAAATGAAACAACAAATTGTTTGCGACTGACATCAATCGCAGTATTAGAGAAACAGGACTGCAAACTTGCAATTGATTAGAGGGCTTACCAGCAACTCTTTATTATAAAACGGGGCCCAGGTTTCTGTATTGTACTTGATGCTGTTACATGAAGCTGTATGTTGTCCATTCGTAATGGTCGGGATAGTGGATTTTTTTTTAAATTGCGGAGCAGACAGTACTGGTTCCCCCAATCAATCTGCAGTGAAAATTTGTAGATGACTGTTATAGGCAGATTAATCTAGTGATACACGAGAGTGCAAATGCACACTTGTGAACATAGATACATGTATGCAATTTGTCCCTTGTAATAAAACAGCTTCAATGTGATTGTAACACCATATATCGATGTGCGTTAGTGTTGGAAATCAACTTGCGACAAGAGTGAAAGGAAAGATTAAAATGTTTTTGAGCAAGGTCTTACAGAAACTCTAGTGGGGTTTGTGTGCAGCACACAATGTACTCTCCTTGAAGGGCAAGCCAGACGAATCAATCCATGATATGTTCTTTGATCAAATCTCTTACCATTTCAATTATCTTCCATGAAAACGCAGTTACCGAGAAACTGGACTGCCAAATAGAAAATGTAGAGATGTATATACAAAATTTGGATGAGAAGCATGTATAAAATAGTCGATCATTCTTACTATTAATTGATATAATGTATATTTATGAAATTGATTAATTGTAATGTATAAAAATAGAGAGGTGGAAATTGGCAATGATGAAAGGGAAATATATTAGCTTGTATTATTTTCATGAATTTATAATGATAACACCGGAGAACATCTCAAATATGTATATCTGATCAATGGTGTGTTATGTGATATTTAAACAAAGACAAAGTATTCAGCTGTTTACATTTAATATATATTATTATCCTTATTATTATTATTATTATTATTATGAATATCATTATGAATGCAGAGCTCTTAATGAGTGTATGTTGAATAATCAGTGAATCATTGATATTATAACAATATGTGGCTCATATGCATGCAAACAATTCTCTATATCAGAAAATAAAAAAACAACAGCAGTACTTCCTAAACATAAATAATGGGATGATAATTGAGAAATTTACAACTATTGTGTTTTTATTTTTTGTTTAGCCAGTACTTTGAATATGTTATCTCCAGGTATTATTTCTTGTACTCGATAAACTACCACCAGACTATGGTTCTATATTGAAAGTTTGTTTTGCATTTTTGTCTCTTGAGAGCCCGAAGGGAACTTTATAGGGGGTGTAGCATGACGAGACTATGTGTCTTTCCCTTGGCCTGACTCGGGGGCCGATCGGGTTTAATACGACTACGAACCACGCCACCGCAGTATTCACGTGCGTGCAACATACACGAAACCGAAGCATGATGGGAACTATGGTCTGTTTCGCGAACGCTAGCACGTGCTGACTGTTAATCTAGTCCATTTGTTTACATGCAGCTATCCAAAAGTAGTCGTAGATGGCGTTAACCAATATTTGCCATGCTGCACCCCCTTTAACACAGAGATAACGCTCTCCTGGCTCCCAACAGATGATTTATTTGTACATTTTGGGTTTCAAGCGAAAAGGAAATCATCGTAAATCGATCAGAATGTAAATCAGAGTATATTAATCCAGATCTTTGCCATGATGATGTGCATGTTTGCATGTCAAGTGAAAGTTATTTCTCTATGTTCTTCTAACCAATACCATGTCAAGGTCATGTGAAGGTCACGTGGGCTCTACGCCTAGCGTCTCGCGCAAAATGCTTTTACTCCTGCAAGTTGGTGCAAAATTCAGAGTTGGTGAATCTATTATATGTAAACATGCAATTCAAAATGTTATATTACTATACATGTATACCTGCAATTACAAATATTCTATGTTAAAATATATTATAATTTTGTAAAGCTATTAGTTATTAGTTAGATTATATCCTCTTTATGTTTCTATTTATTACCTATATTTCAGAACAAAGCGTATTTCTTACAAGGATATGGTGTTATAGTCTCATTACATAACTTTTACTCTGTTCCAATTTGTCACTTTGTAAACTGGCAAAATATTTATCTTATTTACTTCCAGATCTCTCAATAGATTGTTTAGTGTGTGTTAATTGATTGTGCAGTCATGTGCAGATTTCCAGCATATTATTGCAAAGATTACAAGTTGATATTTTGTCCTCATCGTTTGTTTTATCTCGTGTTCATCAAATACATCTAACTTTTTATCATGATTTTGAGGCAGGGACACATAAACATATATTTGTGGAAAATGATGCACATTCATATTTTCTGTGAGACAAATGTGTCGAGCATGAAGGAGAGATGTGAAATTTTACCAGTATAACTAAAAAATGAATTGATAGGCCAACACATTTGATGTACGGTAGATAGAAATACAAGGGGTGTAATTTTGTTTCAATGTTAATACATGAGTTTTTTGTGTTGTTTTTAGTTTTAGTTTTTTGTTGCTGGTGGAGGGTATATAATACCAAACATAATTAAACGGTAAAATGATTCTTAGACCTAGCTTGAGTGCCTACATATTGGTGCCAAATGAGGGGGTTTGAACCCTAAACCTGCATTGCATCCACTTGTTCATGACTGCATTCATACTATAAATATTTATGATATCGGTATATCAAATCTGGCATTTTAGAACATGTAGTTTAGATTTTTCTTTACTTCTTTCTTTTCCTAACTAAAGTGATCAAATTTGAGCTAATTCGAATATGAAAGCCCAGCTTGATTAGCTGTGCGCACATGCTCTATAGTGAATTATGAGTCTGAACATGTACATTTATGTAATTTTAATGGTGTTAATCTTGTTTGTAATTATTTTTCTTTTGAATGAAATATTTGAGATCTTGTACAGTGTGTATTAAGAATAAGAACATTCAATATATATATTGACCTGTAAGTCTTACGATTATATGAATTTTTATTACAGTATGATATGAATGTAACATAAATATTTCGAATTTGGGGGAGAATACTGACGTGATATTTTCACTGAAACTCTCAATAAATCACTTCACTGAAAAGAAATTTATTATTGTTTAGTGTATAGTGAGTATTTTGCATTTTCATCCACCTCCAATTATATTGAATGTGTGCGATTGTTGAAAGAATGGGTTTATGATGAGTTGATGAAAGATTGGGTGAAGGAATGAGTTATTAAATGGTTAAAGGGCAATCCAACCATTGTAATAAGGAGATTTGTATGAAAGAAGAAAAGTAACAGAAACAAAAGGGCAAACGTTTGAAATTAATCGGACCAATAGTAAGGAAGTTATGAATGTTTGAAATATGAGATCACCAAGTCTATGCAAATCTCAAATTGGTAGTTTGGTTAGTGGATTGTGACGTAGGACGTCACAATATGATATGATCTCTCCCATTTACTGTGTACAAAAATATTACTAATTTCTGTTTTTCTCTTAAGTTCCTTCTCCCTTTGGGCACTCCCCAAAATATATTATGAGTAGCATATTATTATAGGTCCTCTAAGTGCCCGTTCAAAGAAAATCACAAATATGTCAAATAACGTATCACTAGAAACTGGTAAGCTAACAAATGGCCATCGTACAAGTTTTAGGTCTACTACATATCGGCTGATTCATAAAAATACAATTAAAACCACCTCAATAGCTTCTAGGATATATGAAAGATTCGCCAGAAAATAACGATGTTTTAATGACGTCACAATCCTACGAACCAATCTTGCCGGGGCACCCGGCTTATTAGATGTAATAAATGCAAATTTACAAGTACGTCTATATCAGGGGCGGGCAATGCCCCCCCCCCCCCCCCCCCCTCCCTATATGTTTTGCCTTTTTTCTCTCTCTCCCTCCATTTTTTGTTTTGGGGCGGGGCATGTGTTCCTGCGCGTTCCCCAAACAATGCACCAATTGCTAAGGCAGACCAGTAATATTGTATCCCCTTTCCGCTTTTTTATAATTATCTTTACATTTTACCGATCGAGCTAGTAGTGATACCAGGGAGAGGTGAGTTTATCTCCCTGGTGATACCGTCAACATTCAATGAACCAGCTAATCTTCATGTAATCAACTGACAGATGGTTTGATGCAGGTATAACAGTATACCGCTATGTTTGCTTTTCTTCTATCTCCCATCTGCGACCTGTGAACTGAGGGAGATGGTATAGTCGTAGTGTTCATGTGTGCAGTAGGTCATAATTCGCTGACTTTAGAAGGAAAAAAAATGGGTGTACAAGAATCACACACAGCAAACTCATGGTCCCATCAATAGATACCTCATTGTCTATTAGAGAAGTCTTCAGGTGAGGGAAGTGACATGTAAGATAATGACCTTTCCATGGGGTGATTAGTGAAATGCAGATAATTACATAAGACTGAAGGCTAATCCTGTTGATTGACACCATGCACCCGTTATTGGGTCAACACGTACCCAAATGTAATCTAACTCTACACAAAGCGTCTAATCTAATTCACAACTCACTCAATTAGCGAGATTGACACCACACCGACAAGAAAACGAATAAAGAACAAAACCGTGCCGAACCGTGCCGAACCGACTCCAAATCGAGCAGCGTCTCACGAAACCGTCATAAGTACAAGTTCACCGACATCCCATTGAAGTGCTTGAATTAAGTTTAACACGCGTTTCAATAGGATGTCGGTGAACTTGTACTTAATATGACGGTTTCGTGAGACGTTTCAAGTGTTATGTTTTGTTAAATTTATTGTATGAAAAACAAAATTTTATAATATAATATGAGACAAATATGGCTGTTTTTCAGCAAGTCCGTATACAAAAAAATATATTACAAAAATAACATCAATAACATTACACCCAATATTTTACAAAGAAAATGTACAAATTACAAAAAAATTGAATACAAATAATAAAGAGAGAGAGACAGAGAGAAAAAAGGAAGAAATAGTGGGGGTAGTAGAAAGAAAAAAAAGGATTTACCAACAAAAAGTATTATGATCATATCTCAGTATCTTTTTTAAAACTCATTGGGAACTTAAGTTTGGTCGGCATGTAGAAGGTCTCGTCGATGTGACTTGGTAATACATTGGATGCCACATGATCGGTGGGTTTAGGGTCCGAGTTCGGCGGTGTGACTGAGGTACAAAGCAAGATTGATTTCAGAAGTGATACTTGGTAACTGACAACTTGGCTGTTTTAACTGGAAGTGTTATGTCACAATCATCTGACTCAACGACCATGCAGTGGTGGCTTTCGGGAGGAAGGGGAGCGGTATGGGGTCCTGATATCCATGGGCACATAGCCCCCCCCCCCCCCCCCCATCCCAACCCCAATTTTGATCATCTAGTTCTTTCGTCTCCTTTTTCCTTTCTTTATAATGATGGTTAGAAGTTTCTTCTTCTATCAACATGTAAAAGGAGATTCTTTGAATAATCTTAGGACACGACAATCGGAGGGTTCTTCGTCTGCGGTGTATGAAACCACGTATCGAAAATGGAGTGTCAAGAATTATCTCGCCTTTTTACAATCATATTTTGTCATATTTTATCTTATCTTATACGTTCATATTTTTATCCTCATTTAATTCCGCTTTTAAGGAAGCCAACTTCCTATGTAGGGTCGATGACACTGAGCCTAGCTCAGTCTTCAAGTACATGTACAATTTAACATAATTACAGTTCAATGCACTATAATAAAATTGTACTCCCAGTGTTCCTGTCGTAATATTAAGGTTGCCATTTTAATTCCCGTTAATTGCACATGATGCGTTTTTTTTTGGATAGAGTTATTGCCAATGCGCTGATTCAGTGCTATGTTTGGGCTATTCACTTTGCATATGTCAGCCTCACATGGAATTAACCGCGTCAAAGACCGTACCATTCATTGACGCAGTACTACGTCAGGCGAATTTCCTTTCTTTCTTTTCTTTTCTTTTCTGTCTCTTCCGGGTTCTTCTTTTCTTTTTGGTCGTTTTCTTTTCAACTCTTTCCCTTTCTTTTCTCTTCTTATCTTATTTTCTTTTACCCTCTAATTCCTTTCCTTTCTTGTATTTTCTTTTTATAGCTACGAACTCCGCTCGTCATTCAAAGATTAGTTTTATTGATAGAAAAACGACAAATAAGGGGAATTGTTTTGATAGGCAGTTTTGACATTAATTTTAAGAAAGGAAGTGGCGGACAGGATGAATTTCCTTCCTAAAAAACATCGCTCAGGAAGATATACGATTACGAGTTTGTAATGTTTATCATCTTTGTGGCATATTGCAGCCTATAAATAGTTTGTATTTATTTGGGTTTCCGTCACCAGTCAGGAAAGACATACGACATTTTCTACCCTCTCTGAGAAAAAAGAGGAGAAAAATGGAAACCATAAACGTAGGTCATGTATATATTTCATTTAATGATGCGTTCGGGTCGGAAATAACCGTGAAGTTATGTATAAGAATAATGTTTACAACACGGATTGAAGAAAAAAAAAAAGGTGAGTATCCATCCTGCTTTTGCACTTGGTTCTTTAATACCATGGAGCTACGAAATATATTTTTTTAGATCCATGGTCCTCGCTAGAGGAACACCCCCCCCCCCCTATTATTCATCTCGTCAGATGGTAGGCACAGTCTTGAAGTTTGTTTTTGTTTTTGTATTTAAGAAAGAATATCGTAACTTTCTAAGAATGAATCGATAAAATATTCAATCAACTTCTCTTTCTGAAGCTACATTGTGGATTATTAACCTGAGCCAACCCCATTAAATGAAACGTTGGTTAATAAATTCAATAAAGCAAATGTGACATCTTCAGGCGCGGATCCAGGATTTTCCAATAGGGGGGGCCGGAAATTTGAAAATTGCGCAGACCATTTTTTTCAACTCAACATACCAATACTGACAAGGTCATATTAGAGGCACGATACCGGTAGAATTTTTGACATTTTCATCGGGGGGGGGGGGGCTATAGCCTCTTGCCCGGAAAGTAATTTTCTGGTTTCACAATTCGAAATAGTGAGCGAAGCGAGCGAGCAACAATAATTTGTGAAAGTGTTATTTATCACCAAAATAAACGAGAAAAGATATCAAAAACTCATATTCGGGCAGCTCGCTGCCCCCCTCCCCCCTCCATTACGCGCGAAGCGCGGAAGCTTTGACCCTTCATTAATTGTTACTAGAGAAGGAAGACGATTTGTTGTACCATTCTCGACTCTTAATCCTTGTCTAAATTCAGTTTCCTCCCGCCCGCGCGAAGCGCGGAAGCTTTGGCTTTTCAAAGCTTTGGCCTTTCATTAATTATTAGAGAAAGAAGAAGATTTGTTGTACCATTCTCGACTCTAATTACTCGAAGCGCGGAAGCTTTGGCGTTTCATTAAATTATAAGGGAAAGGAGACGATTCTTTGTACTATTCTCGACTCTTTATCCTTGTCTGAATTCAGTTTTCCCCCGCCCGCGCGTAGCGTGTAAGCTTTGACGGTTTATTAAATTATTAAAGGAAGAAAACGAATCGTTGTACCATTCTCGTCTCTTAATTCTTGTTTGAATTCAATTTTCCCCCTCCCGCGCGAAGCGCGGAAGCTTTGACGTTTCATTAATTATTAGAGAAAGAAGAAGATTTGTTGTACCATTCTCGACTCTTATTACTTGACTGAATTCAGCCCCCCCCCCCCCCCCCCCCCCCCGCCTCCCGCGCGAAGCACGGAAACTTTGGCCTTTCATAGTTTAATGAAATTATTAGAGAAAGATGATTCGTTGTTCCATTTTCGACTCTTAATCCTTCTCTGAATTGAGTTCCCCCCTCCCCTCCCGCGCGAAGCGCGGGAGCTTTGTCGTTTCATTAAATTATAAGGGGAAAGGAGACGATTCTTTGTACCATTCTCGACTCTTAATCCTTGTCTGAATTCAGTTTTTCCCCGCCCGCGCGTAGCGCGTAAGCTTTGACGGTTCATTTCATTATTAGAGGAAGAAGACTAATCGTTGTTCCATTTTCGTCTCATAATCCTTGTTTGAATTCAGTTTTCCCCCTCCCGCGCGAAGCACGGAAGCTTTGACGTTTCATTGAATTATTAGAGAAAGCAGGCGCG